TCCCCAGTGCCCTTTGATTTCACTTGATCAGGATGATCTGGATAAGTAAACATATTTCACAATTCCCCTCACCTCCATTAGGAAGCTAGCCAAGGTCTGGCTCCCCAAGAGCAAGCTCGGTGTTGGCCAAAACTGCCACGGGCTGGCAGCCCGACACGGCTGCGAATGGAAGTCAGCCTTCACACTTCTAACACTGACAAACAACCACAAGCTTGCGTTCCACAGACTCTGGGCTGACGGCTGGAATACACATGTATTAAGTTTCATTAGTTCCCCCATTTGGTTCAGTGTGGGTTTACCCACACAGCTGGCTTGGAGCCTGTCCTTTCACTTAAATTAGTTCTAGTTCTCTACAGTTTTGATTTACTGACAAAGCACTCTCTTTATCTAGTAAGGGCACAAGAGTTTTGTCTGGGTGGTAGAGACAAATTGTGTTTGTCTGGCTGTACGGAAACCGTGGTTGGTACAATTGGGCCAGTTGGGTCATTTAGCATTTCCACGTGGGGCACTGCCTAGAGAAAGGTGTTTTAATTACTAATTAGTCCATATCAGCAAAGGCAATGTATTTTCCATTATTTCTTTACTGGGGATTCTGATTCATAAAATATCTTAGGGAAAACACATTTTACGTTACCGAGTCTTTGATTTCCCAGGGAAACTAATAAATAATCAACAAAAATATGATTAAAGGCTGCTTGAACTACCATCCAAAAAGGAACTCTAGCCGGCAAAGAATCTTTCTGATCTGAATCTTTTTATTCCTAGAAACAGAATTCTTACTTAGCCTTTCAAAAGCCTGATGAAGGCTTTGGCTAAGTTTTGACATAAGATTTTCATATTCAAAATATCTGTTGAAATAAGGGGAGAAGGGATATGAATCTTGAAACTGCATTAGTCTGAAATAGAGCTTAGTAAGCTAGAAAGGGAAATTACTTCTCTGTAATTGGAATTCTCTCCTAAAAAATCCCTTTGAAATCATGTTCAGCTACTTTCCCATTTTGTGTCCCAGGGAAGCTAACTTTAACCCTTTCTGGAACTACCCACCATAAAAATTATTTGATGTTTATAAACTGCTCTGGGAAGAGATTCCTGAGCAATGGTCTGTGTCATCAAAGAACTTAATAATAAACGAGTGGCTCCCAAGAGTCCTAGACGCAGTTAATAACGTTTTCTCCAGGACACCTCCTCCCATTAGAACACTGCTGTTTATATTCATGTATCGCGTTCATCTTGGCCATATAGTCCTAAGACAGGCGCCAGAAAAATGCCCCCAATCTGAGTTCCATTACCTTTGAAATGACTTAACTAAACTCTGCCCCGGCGCAGTTCTCTAAGTTCTTTGAAGGCAGGGGCTGCGTTTGATCCTTCTTTGTATCTTTAATGTCCGTACTTAGTAGTTGCTTGATAAATGCCTCATGAATCCTGAATGAGAACTGGCTGGGTAAGCAGGACAAGTTACTTAATTTCTATTCTCTTCAAGTTTTCTCAGCTGCAAAATGGTAGTAATATCTTCCTCAAAGGATTCCCATGAGGATTAAATGAGTACATAAAAAGTAGTATGCGCTACATATATCAGCACAGTGCTTGGGAAACAGCCACGTTATACAGCTACTAGTGCATTAATATAATAATAACAGTGTAATAATTACATACATAGCATATATATATATATTATACATAGGCTTTCCTTCCTTTTACATCTACTTTGATGTGAAGACAAGAAATCTGGTTCTGCCTGGAGGTAACCCATAATACTAAGGCATTCCACTGAATTTCCAGGTCATCAGGGTATACAGCTTCATCACATTAGAGTTGGTGCCTCGTATCAAAACCGTAAGAGTGTTCACCTGGCCTACGGGAGAATTCTCATGTGTAAGTGTGACATATCCCGCTTTGTACCTGTCCTCTTTTGTTAAGGATGCAAACCCCTTAAACGGCATGCGGTGCCTGACACGGGTGTTTCCTGGTTACTGGATGGCCACACCCTACGTCCATGCGGCAGCTCAGCACATGGTAACAATGAGCAAACATCAACTTGAATTTGATTTGGAAGACAGTTATATCCAAAGAATAACCAAACACGGGGAATTCTGCTGCTTTTAGTTGCAAAATTTTTAATACAGTCTTTTCCCCAAAAGATGTAACATGCTAAGTAATGATAATTAAACATTTTCCGAGCCTATTTCTTAATTGTATTTCTTGAATATAATTCACATTCTGGATGATTTACCCAGGTAAAGAGTATACATCAGTGATTTTTAGTGTATTCCTTTCTGCCTACTCCAGCCCCATTAGACAACCAGTAATCCACTCTCTGTCTCTTATAGGTTAGCCTATTCTGGACATTTCATATAAACGGGGACATACTGCATGGCATTTTGTAACTGGCTTCTTTCATTTAGCATGTTTTCAAAATTCATCCACATTGTGGCATGTATTAGTACTTCATTTTCTAAACTCGCTGAATCGTATTCCATTGTACGGACAGACCACATTTTGAGTATCCATTGATTACTCGAGGGACATTTGGGTTGCTTCCATTTTTAGCCTTTATGAATAACGCTCCTCTAAACGTTTGTATATAAGTTTTGTAGAGATACATGTTTTTGTTTCTCTTGGACAACTAGGCGTGAAACTGCTGAATCAGATGGTAATTCTATGTTTAACAATTTTAAGAATTTCTAGTCTATTTTCCGAAGTGGCTACAACATTTTATATCCACACCCGCTCCAGCAACATATAAGGGTTCTAATGTTTCCTTATTGTCATCAACATCTGTCATTATTTGTCTTTACGATGACATACATTTTTAAGAGAGCAAAACAATTTTTTTAAAGTATCACTGCTTTATAAATAATTGTAAAAGTCACTGTTTATTAAGAGCTTTGAAGATCTGAAGTGCTTCTGGAGTTGTAGAGGGTAAAGTGACTATCAAGAGAAGCAGAAATCTCTTTCTGTGAACCTGCCTCCAGTGGAAGAGAAGGATGAAGAGGTTTAAGTGGAATATATATGCTTCGAATTTGTTAAAAATGCATCTAGCTTCATAACCAGATAAAGAGGCTCCAATACTCCTGTTGGTGTCTCTTCCTAATCTTTTTCCACTCATTTGCTTTTAGCTGGTAAAAAGGACTCATTCAAGTAGAAATCTGTTGCCTTTTTCTGGAAGTGTTTGGAATACGATGTTACCAATCATATGGCCCAAAGGAAGCGCTCTCTGAACTCAAATCCTACTAGGATTCCAAGGCTGGGCATGAAGCTGGTGGCTTACATGTTGTCCGAGAGCCCAACCTGGTGATCACAGGCTGAAAGGCAAGTTCCCAGGGGACACTGAGAAAGAGTAAGTCTTGAGAGGCTAGTTCAGTAGACTTAAAAGCCATAAAGTACAGTGGGTTGGATTAACACGCTTTCCCATCCCTAACTCCACTCTCATCATTTCACAAACCAAATGGAAGCAGAGATAAAATATGAAATCTACTGGTCTTTATAGATAAGTCTTTTCTTATGCTTTGGGAACAGGGGAAAGGGCACGGTTATCAGATTCTAAAGTCATCAGAGAAAGCAAAAACTGTGAAGAGTCAACATTACACTCAAAAATCCCTCAAAGTTGAACTCAAATATCAACCTGTCACTTTAGGTCAATATACCCTTTTTCAGTAAGTCCAACACAGCCAGGTGATCCCTCCATCACGGGAACAGATACAGTACGTCAGTTAAGTGCCAAACGTTCAGTTAAGCAACAGAGTTGCCTTATGTTTGGGGGCCATGCTGTGCAAAAACAATATGTATCTTTAAGGTGTTAGGATCACACTCAAAATAGGAAGATGTTCATCCTCTGAGAGGACGACGCAGATTCCTGACTCCAGGGCAAGTGCTCGTGGAATGGAATGGCAGAGGAAGAACTATTTATATTGCTATTGCTGTTTTTTCCTCCCTCTCTTGTTTAATGTAAGCTAATTAAAGACGTGTATGATGCCATTCACGGAAACGTGTTTCAGAAACCCACAGTTTAGACAAAAGTCATCTTTGTCACAGATGACAAAGGAAGAGACTCGATTGCTAAAGAGATTTCCAATCACTGAATTCAGTAATCAAATTCCAGGGACCAGAAAAGGCTTCGGGCTTTTGCAGAAATGGACGACTAGGTAGATTCTATCTAGCATAAATCCTTCACTTTATAGCTGAGGAAAATGGGATCCAAAGATATTTAGTGACTTATCCAAGGTCACCAGGCTGATGAGTGGCCAAGCCCTGCCCGGAGTACAGACTTTCTGACTCCTCGTTTACGTTGTTAGAAAGTCTGATGAATCAAAGAAATTGCTCAAAGGTAAAAGTATACCTAGTGGTTCCAACTGGACCAGTCATCACACATTATACCAATTAAAATGCAATATAGGGGTGATTATTGCTGTGCTTTAATCATATGGTGGTGTCTACAACATGCTGACGGACATGTGTTTTGGAAAAATCAAATAAAACCACAGAGCTGGTTGTCACAGGCTCTGTTTCTTTAATTTACATAGTCTCAGCTTGCCTTTGGGGAATTCACAGACCAAAGCAAAGCTGTCCCCTAGAGACACAGTTCTTAAAGCAGACTTACTCACTTTGTTGTTGCAGTCACTTATACTCAGAGACATCAGAATGGTAGCATGATTCTGCAGAATTACCTGGCAACTTCAGTTGGGACCAGAATCTCCCCTCTTAGCCATCCCAGTAGCTGAGAAAAATATCCAGATTCTAGGATCTGACTTGGGCCCAAAAAGCTTGGAGAATTTTTTCTTTCCCCCTTGTAAATATATCTGTCCTCCATTCTCCACCTCCACCCCCTTCCTTTTCTTTGAAATTTGAGTACGACTTCTAAGCCTGGTGACCTGTTGGAATATACTTGCTTGTTTGCTTTCTCCTGTGTTTTTCTTAATGCAGTAACTTGAAATGTCAACATGAGGTGACAAGTAAATCCTCAGTCAAAATAAGTTTGCAACCAAACAGGAGGAGGAAAAGAAAAAGCAGGGAGAACGCTGGCCGTGGAGGCTGCTGAATGGCGGCCAAATCCACGGCCAAAGCGCTAACAGAGCAGAGCATTCATCACATGAGCTCATTCCTGTTCTCTTATTCAGCAGGCTGCATTCTGCATCTTTTCCTCTGAGACTCACCATTTGCTCTGACTTTGCAGCTAATGCAACAAATAGGTAAAGAGAGATCGCGGCTCGCTGTCTGGATGTAAACTCTGGCTACATTTCTCCAAGCCAGAGGTACCTCTCGGAAGAATGTCTGTCAATGGGGGCTGGGGAGCGGGCAGGGCGGGGAAGTGTGTGTGTTGTTTTGTTGTTGTTTCTGTTTTTTTCAATTTTTTTATTGAAGTGTAGTTGATTTACAATGTTAGTTTCAGCAAACTAATGATATCCTCTATGATTCAGACATGGAGAGAACCTAGACTTTCCCATTCTAACTTGCCATGGAGTTTGGGAGAATCCAGCCCATTTACGGTACGGCTTCCATCAGAGGAGAAATGAAGGTTAGTGAAGTTGTAAATCAAAGGAAGGGGACAACACCTACCAGCCAGCAACTGGCTGTTTTCACGGGATCTTTAGCAACAGCTCAGGGACTACCTTGAAAGGAAAAACGTGCACGATGCCACGTTGTGAAAAAGTCATCACTTTGAGCAGTTTCCCTATTGTCATCATAAATTCTACCCCTTTCTCCCCTGCTTTGGTCGTGTTGGCCCCACGGCAGCTTGCCTCCACGGGACCTAAGCTGAGCGGGATGAGTTACAAACCCAAATCCCAGTGTTTGTTAAGGGGATTTATGCATTAGGTTCTCTGAAACTTTACCCAGAAAGTCTTCCTCACGCCTCTGCTGGGTTTCCGGGAGAGAGAGGGCCCCTCTGCGGATCTCCCCCTGGACTCCATGCTGGCAATGGGCACGAATAAATCCCGCTAATGACTTCTGCCTGTAACTGACAGGTTCTGGTCTTTGGTGAATGCTGGGTCCCCCAAAACTGCTTTTTGTTTATTTCTAAAGAGGATTTACTGCAGGGCTTCTTCAGTAAGCATCAGTCAGCATTCCCCACAACGGCTGTCAACGCCCTTCGTTTCTGCAGGTGCAGCAAACAGAGGGGTCTCATTCACGTTGTCACATCTGGGATCCCCAGCATTCCAACACTGAGGGTTTCAAACCATCTTGGTAAAATCTAAGGGCCTGTTTTGGGAATTTCCTTTCTCTGGAGATGGGAGGGAGTTACCTTCTTTACATATCCCACTCTTGAGACACAGAATCCTTGGTTTTCCTTTGGGAATTACCACCATTCACGGGAGAGGGGAGGCCTGCACACTGAATGATTTAAGCATATGCCTTACCTCCTGGTTACAGGGATTGATTCAGGGATGAACACATAATTCATTCAGACTAAGGAGGCACGGTAAGGAGCCGGGGCTTTTGAGAAAGAAAAGTTTTTCTTCTTTCATAGAATTAGTAGTGTGATGGTTGATGTGAAGGCTGGAGCTGCAACCTTCTTGCAACTAGAAGAGGCCAAAGCTGCCAGGAGCTATGAGGAACCTAAGAGTGCAACCAACTAAGAAGAACCTACGAGGTGAGTGATAGGTTCTGATAACATGGTTAATCTCTGGATTAAGCTATGCCTGAAGCTACTTACCATGCACTTCTCAATGACAACAACCACTAAACTCCTTCTACTTAAGTCAGTTTGGGCTGGGGTTTCTGTCTCTTGTGACTTGTTGAATATTGATACCTAAATTCAGTTAAGTAGACTCTGGTGTATGTATACTAAGTCTCTGATCTAGAGTCCAACCTGCTTCTAGAACATGGAAACAGTACTATGACAATCTTGATATCTTGAACAGAGATGCTGGCAGAAGTCCTTGAAGATTCCGTCTCTCCTGTCATCTCAAATAGCCTGTTTGCCCTCCCAATCATGCACCCCAGTTCCGGTGTCTTTAGCCTCCCTCACCACTGCTTTCCGCCCTTGGCATATACACATGCTCTTGACTCTCCTATCTTACGAGATGCCTCCCTTTACGCGACCGCACCCTAGTTGCCACCCTGTAACTATACTGTCTTTCTCAGTCAAGCTACCCAAAGGAAGAGTGTATCACCAGTCCTTCCCAAAGGCTCAGTGCTGCAGATGGTTTCATAAAAAGGAGCGTACGGTCAACTACATTTTGGGAAATGTTCCAGGTGGTAGCCTCCTTTTGGACAGTGACAGTTAACATGAGGGTAGTAAGGGCTCTGGGAATTCTTGCAGGAATGAAAACTCTTCAGTTTTATTTAACTCAACATTTCCCAAACTGATTTGACCGAAGAAACCACTCCCTCCTCTTTTACTCCGCCTACAAGTGCTCAGCATCCCAAGGACCTAGAGCTCTGAGGGACATGCACTGCGAAATGCTACTTTATACGCTTTGCTTTCATCTCTCACCTCCCATTTATCCACTTAGAAATCATTATAAAATATTTTTAAATACCAGAAATATACAGAACACTTGTAGCTACACTAGTTTTGCCAAATTTTACTGAAAAAGATCTCAATCAAATAGGGCAGAAGACTTGCAGTTTTCAAATTCTCCATTTCTCACCTTGGCACACGTCCCTTCTGTCTCGAGTGCCCCTTCTCGCCTTTCTCCACCATTCTTCGCTTGACAAAATCCTATTCCACCTTCAAGACTCAGATATTAATACCGCCAAGAAGCCTTTCCAGACCCTGCCGCCTATTCCCTAGCCGGCCACGATTCCATGGTCCTCCTCTGAATTCCCAGAGTTCCCTGAGTGCACTCCTATCAAAAGACAGCAATGATCACATTCTTAGTTAACTGCCTGCTTACTCACCAGTCTCCCTCACCAGACTACAAGTTCCTTAAGGATACACACCGTCTTCTATTTCTGCAACCTCAACATCCTGCACGGTGCTGGGAACACCAGAGATAATGCTTTCTAATGTTCCTTGTGTGATGAATGTTCCAGACCTTCTTGGTGAGTCTTCCCTGCCACTTAACAAACGTATACAAGTCACCCACCAAATTTCCTGTTGCCGTGTTGACTACTGTGTTGTTATGACTTCTGTGTATTTCATCCAGTCACTTATGTTTCCTCTTAGGATGCTGTCACCACTTTAATTTTTTTCCCCCTAAAAGCAATCAGGTATGGTGTGCTCTGCCCCAAATAGCAGAAAACTAACTCTCAAAAGCTGAAACCACCAGGATACTTATTTATTTCAGAAGAAGTCTGGAGGTGGGAGGTTCTGAGGTTGGCATTAGGGATCCAGGCTCTCTCTGTACATCTGTTCCACCAGTATTACTGTAACAGCCTTCTGTCCTCATACCTGTCCTCTCATCTTTGAAAGCTGGCTGCTATATGGCTCCAGCATCCTGTCCTCTTGCTGGGTACCAAGGCCTCTGAAAGGCCAGAGGATAAGGCTCTGCCTTTTTCCCAGGAAGGAAATCCTTCCCAGGAGCCCTAGCAGACCTTGCCTTCCATCTCGTAGGTTAGAACTTGTCGCATGGTCCCCCCATTTGCAAGGGAGGGATAGTATGGCCGTGATCTGCTTAACCCAACTCTGACTGGCCCCCCCCCCCGGCACCGGCCAAGGAGCTGACTTTCCTGAAATCAAGGGCCCCCTATCCACCAGCTGAACAAAATTTGATTCTCTTAGTGGGGTAAAGAAACAAGGCAGGAGAGGTGACTGGCTCTTGGACAGGCGACGAGGTGTGCCTGGCAGAGTAACGCTGGTACAGCTGCCAGGGTACTGGCTGTGAAACCCAAAGAGTCAAGTTTCCAGGCTGAGGTTTCCCACTGGCCAACCCTGGGTTCTTGGCCAGCTCCTCATGATCTGAGTCAATGTTCATTAGCTCTAATATGAGGTTTCCTCAGTAGGGTCATGTGGGCTGATTAATGACTTTTAAAACAGAAAAAAAAAAAGACTTTTAAGAACTTAGGCGAACAGAAGCTTTTTTTTAGCGGTGCTGGGCATCTCCTGACATTTCTTAAGGCAAGAAAACATCTGTTCACACATTCATTTGAGAGTTATTGTGCCCTTGTGGCTGGTTGGGTCTCAGAGATAGGACAACCTCTGCCCTCAAGAGGCTCACTTTGGGGTGAACAAGACAAAATATTTACACAGATAACTAAGCTTAACATGATACATAAGAGCAATAATCTGTTGAAAGTGGCACGGACTAGAAAAGGGAGGCCAGTTTGCTGGGCTGGGGAAGGAGGCGACAGGGCGGCGGCACACAGCTGGCCGGCTGTGTTTTACACATGACACGTGGGTGCAGGAGGAAGCCCTGGATGCTGCGTCCAAAAGGCGTCTTAAAGGAGAAAACATCTGCATCTGTAGTTTGCAGGGCCAGTGCGGGGAGATGAGACAAGGTAAAAATGGAGTCCACGGAGAGAAGACATGAGCAGAGGGATGGAAACCTAAAAGTACAGTAGATGGAAGACCTGGGACACAGTAAATGCTCTGGAGTCGACCAACCATTCGGAGTGGGGGCGGGTAGCAGGGGAAACGGAGAGGAGGCTGGAAGGCACGTATGGCTTTTTACAACCTGAACCTACTTTGTCCTTCAGTTCACAATGGAGAGTCAACGAAAGTCTTAAAGCCTTAAAAGTCACTCTTTCCTGCAAAGGTTAGCCGGGCCAATCCCATTTGCAAATGAAACAGCTACTAAATCGCAGCACTCCTAAATTATTACAAACTATGGTTCGTAAACAAAGATGTGATTATAATGTTAGAGAACTCACTGTCAACTGCGTCCCGAAGTTTTTTAAGAAACTCTGATGAAATGAAAAACCTTATTTTGTGCTGCCGTAAAACCGCACAGGTTAGGGATAGATCCCCAAAATCCTGCAATTATTTAAAAGCACAAAGCCTAGCTTTACTGCATTGTCACTTTTTTTTTTTTTAAATAACATATCAGCAGATTCTGGTTCCCAAAACCACTTTGGGGAAAAATGCTTTCCTCAGTGACATCACCCCCATTTTCCATATAAAATGAAAAAAAATAAAGGTTCCAATTCAGAAGTAGGAGGTTACAAAAGGATTGCTATCCCTTAAGAGCCCACTATGCAAAACCCCCTATTGCCCTGAGAGAAACAAAGAAATAAATTAAAAATATAAAACCCCCCAAACACACATAGCTGAGCTTAAAAGAGGTAGACTGGTTTCCCCCAAATCCATTAATAAAATAAATCACCGCATTTCACATTCATAGTCATCTCTGAAAGTTCTCCTCTTAATTGCTTCGTGGCACCATGTTTTATTTTAGTAAAGTTCAGGTTTTATTGCCAGGGACTAATGGGCATGGAGTCCCCGAAGAACTTGTTTTAAAACATCGACCAGTCGACCATAAAAGGGATATTAAAACAGCTATAGCGGCTAAATAAGAATTAAAAAGTATAGCCACTTATTTTGAAATTAGAATCCTCTTTCACATTTAGGGATATAATAAAACGTGTCATAAACTTTCTCCTTTCAGTCCAAAGTATCGCTGTAAGAATCAACAGTGATGAAGACACGATCCTTCCACGGGTAAGCAGCACGCATTAAAATCAAGCGCTGTTTTTAGGCATTATTAGAGGCATTTTAAAATTATAAATGATTCCAATGTCATAAAGAAAAAAAAAACCTTGCAGGGAGAGAAACAGAAAAGGAGAAACCGGGGAAGGATTTAATGAACTAGGCTGTTAATAAACTTATACTGTCGATGGGTCCAAATTCACGAGCTAGGCAGGGTCGAGTCCTAGCACAGGTCTCGAGGGAACTTGCAGTCCAGCAGGAGGCTGTAAAACGCGTTCAGATGAGAGTTGTATGGACCACTGCTGAAGCACTCTGTGTCCTCCCCTGTGGGGTGCATTCCAGTCTTGAGCCTTTTCCATCACATAACATCTTTTGCTTTACGAATATGCTACATTCTTGACAAAGCTTTGGTGTCCACGATTAGTGAAGCCCCATTTTTATAAGTAGGAAACTAGCCAGGGGAGAATAAATCCAGTCTTGCCTCAAGTTCAACCTGAGTGGGGCACTCAGATCCCTAGTGCTCTGAAAATAGGGTTACAGTCTATCTCTCCATCTGGCGGCCAAGAGGAGGGTAAGGCTTGTTCACCCAAGAGAGAACATTCACTCAAGTAAGCTGAGTGGGGCCCCGTCACACACAGAATGCGGAAAGGACTTCCCAGGCTTCCTTTTGAAATAGGGCACTGGGCACAATGGGAAAGAAGATGGCTCTCCCCAACAGAAGCCCTCTCCGGCCAAGTGGGACAGACACAGGAAGTTCAGTGAAAGGAACCATCTTCTAGTAAACATGATCTCTGAAAAGACTCAACACAGAGATCGCAGCAGAAATCCAGGTTGGTGCCAGAAGAGAGAGAGAGAGAGACAGAGACAGACAGCAGCTCAGGGGCAGGGCGGCAAAGAGGCCCAGATGCCACTTTATTTCTAATACAGCAGCACCTTCTGCTCCTCTAAACAGTTTTAAATAAAAGCATCGTGAACTGGTTTAGATTAGTCCCCACCAGGCACATTTGTAAAGATAAAAAGAACATGGTTGTTTTTCTTCCTCCCAAAGGGGGCTGGGAGGAGAGGACCGGAATGTTCGGTCTGGTCTCGGGGAGGAGAGGAAACAAGGGGAGCCCAGCTTGTTCTTAGGCCCTTGGTTAAAAACAATCATGCCAGCTTGCTTTGAAACCCCAAACTCTCCCAGTTGTCCTCCTCTGCATCCTTTTTGGCCACAGAGACAGGTCGGGGGGCTGGCGGCAGGAGGAGGAGGCGGTGGAGGAAAGGGGGTTTCTCGGCTCCGTCCTGCAGTGCGTGGCAGTAACTGGCTGGCGTAAACATTCGGTAGCCCACCTGAAGCCTATTTTAGGACAAGACAATTTCAGTTTTAAAGTGTTTGAATTACTTTAGCTAAATCTCAGGATTTGCCTATTGAATCTGGAGCTGTTCCCTTTCAACTCTGAATGAAGGAAGAATTATGAGACTGGAGTGATTCAATGAGAGTTATCTGTCCTGGCACTCAATCAAAGGGATTAGGATTTGGAAAGAAAAGCCTACAGGTGGTCCTCCAGGAAGCATACCAAGCGGTTATCAAAAACATACAAGTTCAAAGCAGCTCAATTTTCATATGTTAAATGTACTTGGATGCAGCCCCAGGCTCCTTTCTAGGTAAAAAATTGTGTTAAAGCTGTTTGTACTTGCATACTTAGCAGACGAGGGAATAAAAAAAGCATGTGGTACTGTGGTGCCGGGTCCCCTGCACCCTCGTGTAACCCAATAAATCAATCTTGTTCTCTTGGTGAAACGTGATCTGATACTGTGTCCAGGCTTCCCAGCCTCGTCCCCAACTCCTGCCATCGCGGCTGATACTCATGTACCTCATCAATGCAAACGAGCTGTCACAACACCAACGCCGCCAGGTCAGCCACCGGCAGCAGCAGCTGAACAATTAACAGTGCGGACCATTCACCAGTCCTGGGCGTTGTTTTCCCAAACAGCGTGATCTGGGCTTAGCATCATTTTAGCTACTTAATAGCTTAACTTGGGCACACTGAAAAGGAGAAAAAGAGGACACACACTGAGAGTTAAGTGACAGAAGAGGGTACATTTTAGGTGGCCTTCCTGTCTAGCAAGTCAAATTAGACATTCACGTTTCCAGCCTTTTGGGTATACCAAAGCTAGCTGTGTCCCTCTGGGTGTGCCCTGAAGAATGTTCATGGCAATAG